TGCTGAGCGCCGTGAGCCTGCTTCTCGTCCTGCGTCGCCAACTCGTGCTACTCGCACTAGTGGTCGCGGTTCGCGTCAGGTCCTCCTCCTGTCCCTGGCACGCACCGGATGTCTCTGCGTCCGTCCAGTGCTCCTCTGCGTGCCCCTTTGCGTTCTCCTCCTGAGTCCTCCCTTCCTGTGCTTTCCGACCCAGAGTCGGACTCCCTTCGTGCTGCCAGTCCTACTATCACGCGTCTGCTTGCTACTGCCGTCACTGACCCCTCTTTTGAGTCCGCTGCTGCGTCTGCTCTTGTCACTAAGCTCGTCGACTTTGCTGCTCGCTGTCGTTTAGACTACGCTGCCAGTCTTGTTGCTGAGCCTGCGTCTGTCTGTCCTCCGTCCGTCGGGGGTGAGTGTGCTCTTGGCACGGACGTCCTAGAGGACAGGCAGGAGGAGTTCCAGTGTCTGGCTGCTGCTTCACCTCATCTCGCGTCTGTACTGCTTGCTTCTGAGGGAGACCCGGATGCACTAGACGTCCCGACTCCGCGCTCTTACCCGGAGGTTGTAGAGGGTCCCTACTCCTCTCAGTGGCTGGCAGCTATGGATGCAGAGATGGCTTCCTGGAAGTCCACAGGCACCTACGTTGACGCGGTTCCCCCTCCTGGGGCGAACATCGTCAGTGGCATGTGGATCTTCAGGGTGAAGCGGCCGCCGGGCTCTCCACCTGTCTTCAAGGCGCGGTACGTGGCTCGTGGCTTCAGTCAGCGGCAGGGAGTTGACTACTTTCAGACCTTCTCTCCCACCCCGAAGATGACCACTCTTTGGGTGCTGCTGCACATAGCCGCTCAGCGCGACTACGAGCTTCACTCTCTCGACTTCAGCACTGCGTTCTTGCAGGGTAGCCTGCACGAGGAGATCTGGCTGCGCCGTCCACCTGGCTTCACTGGGACTTTCCCTCCTGGCACCCAGTGGAGCCTCCGACGGCCAGTCTACGGTCTCTGCCAGGCACCGCGTGAGTGGCACGACACACTGAGGACTACGCTTGCGGCTCTTGGGTTTGCTCCTTCTACTGCTGACCCGTCGCTGTTTCTGCGCACCGACACTTCTCTGCCGCCGCTCTACATCCTCGTGTACGTCGACCACTTGGTCTTTGCCACAGCGGACACTGCTGGACTCGCCTACGTGAAGTCCGAGCTGCTGAAGAGACACACGTGCACAGACCTGGGTGAACTGCGTAGCTATCTTGGCTTGCAGATCACTCGGGACAGAGCACGCCGCACCATTACCTTGACTCAGTCACACATGGTGCAGCAGGTCCTTCAGCGCTTCGGCTTCACGTACTCCTCGCCTCAGGCCACTCCTCTGTCTACTCGCCACTCGCTCTCAGCTCTGCCTTCGGATGAGTCCGTAGAGTCGAGTGGCCCGTACCCAGAGCTTGTTGGCTGCCTCATGTACCTGATGACCTGCACACGGCCTGACCTTGCATACCCTCTTAGCATTCTTGCACGCTATGTTGCTCCTGGGAGACACCGACCAGAGCACATGGCTGTAGCGAAGAGGGTGTTGCGCTACGTGTGCAGTACGTCGGGCATGGGGCTAGTGCTTGGAGGGCGGAGTCCAGTGGTCCTTACGGGGCACGCGGACGCTTCTTGGGCTGACGACCAGGCTACGCAGCGGTCGTCACAGGGTTACACCTTCAGCCTTGGTTCCGGCTCTGTCTCGTGGCAGGCTACTCGCTCGTCTTCGGTTCTCAGCTCCAGTTGTGAGGCTGAGATCTACGCAGGGGCCATGGCTGCACAGGAGCTTCGCTGGCTCACCTACTTGCTAACTGACCTTGGAGAGCCGCCTCGTTCTCCTCCAGTGCTGTACGTAGACAACAAGGCCATGCTGGCCTTGTGTCGAGAGCAGCGTCTGGAGCACAGAACGAAGCACATTGCTCTTCGCTACTTCCTTGCTCGTGAGCTACAGCAGCGTGGACAGTTGCGGCTTGCGTACGTGGCCTCTGAGGCCAACGCTGCTGATGTGTTCACCAAGGCACTCGCGCCTTGTGACCATCAGCGCTTCTGGACCCAGCTGGGTCTTATACCTGTCTTGCCTCACTTGCTCTCCTCTTGACCTTACTTGTACTGTCACATATATATACCTGCTCTTGCTTGTCTAGCTTTATATATATATGTGTGTACTCCTGCATGTGAACTGGCCTTGTGGCCTTGCTCTTGTGCTCGGACTATGTGGTGACTTTGTGATCCACCCTGAGCTTTGCTTTGCTTTGCTTGACTGGTCTTGTGACCCCTTGTTCTCCCCCACTTTGCCTATGGGGGTGTGTCATAACATTATATAGCTTATGCTGTTGTGTAGGCTATAGTGGGGTATCCCATAGGGGGTACAACCCAATTAGGGTTTGCTATTTGTACTCACTTCACTCATAGTTCATTCATTCTCGTTCAAACTTTCTCACCCCTCTCTCTCTTCTCATTCATTCCTTATTTCTTCACATGGTATAGAGCTGGTTCCCTCCTGGGACTGTTCCTTCCTAAGGGCCCACCACTTAAAACTTTTTTTTCCTAACCTGCCCGAAGCGCCCTTCGCGCTCTGCCTGCCCTACCTTTTCGCGGCCCCTTCGCGGCCTGCTCTGCCCTTTGCGGCCCCTACGCGGCCCCCTTTGCGACCCCTTAACGGCCCCGTCGCGGCCCCCTTGCGGCCCCTTAGCGGCCCCGTCGCGACCCCCTGTCGCGGCCCCCCGTCGCGGCCCCCCGTCGCAGCCCCCTGTCGCGGCCATTCTGTCGCGGCCCCCCGTCGCGGCCCCCCGTCGCGGCCCTCCGTCGCGGCCCCCCGTCGCGCCCCCCCGTCGCGGCCTTGCCCCGTCGCCCGCCGCGGCCCTGTCGAGGCCCTGCCCCGGCCCTACCCCGACCCTTAACGGCCCCGCCCCGGCCATGCCCCGTCGCCTGTTGCGGCACACCGGGGACCCGTGCACCGCCCCCCCCCTCTTTTCCCGTCGCCCGTCACGGCTCCCTGGGGGGCCGGGCGACCTGGGGGGGAGGGGGCGCGTCGCCCCTTCTGCCGCCTGTTCTGGCGCCCTGGGAGGCCGCGCATCGGCCCCCTCCCCCGTAACCTCCCTACTCGCCATCCCGTCTTGCCCTATGTTAGGGTTTGGGGGTGGGGAGTAGGGGGTGGCAGGTGTGTGGTCTCCCCTGCTCCTCCTCCTCCTCTGTCTCCCACTGCTGCAGCTGCCGCTGAGGGGGGTGGATGTGTGGGAGTTGACGGAGTGGTGCTAGAGGGTGGGGTGTGAGTGAACCTAGGGCGGCAGCAGCGGCTGTGTGAAATGGGGGTGGGATAGTTTGGGGAGGTTGAAGGGGGGTGGCCGCCGTGAAGCCCGCAGCTCCAGTCGCCCGTTAGACCGTTGCGCTAGTCGCCCGTGAGCCCGTTGCGCTAGTCGCCCGTGAGCCCGTTGCGCTAGTCGCCCGTGAGCCCGTTGCTCCAGTCGCCCGTGAGTCCGTTGCTCCTGCCGCTCAGAGTTAGCGGCGGAGCCAGTTACTCCAGTAGCCCGTGTGCTAGTTGCCAGTGTGCCTGTTGCTCCAGTTGCCCGTGTACCAGTTGCTCCAGTTGCGTCGTGTGCCAGCAGCTTCAGCTGTCGCTCACTACCTCCTCTCCTCTCATAGTCCCTCCTCCTCCACACTTGCCCTCTGCGATAGCCTCTAGCTTTGCTTACATTTGTGAACTTTAAACTGTTGCTTCTTGTACTTGTGCTCAGAATGTGTGGTGACATTGTGATCCATCCTGAGCTTGTTCTGCTTTGCTTGTTGTGCTGATTACACCCCACTTTGGCTATGGGGGTGTATCAGAATATTATGTTTCTCTAGTTTGCAGTGGGGTACTCTATAGTGAGTACAACCCTTTTAGGGTTTGCTATATGTATCCCAATGTTTGCTAGTGAACCCCTCTCTCTCTTCTCATTCATTCCTTATTTCTTCACACACCCAACCTCGTGTTCCCGAGGTTCCCGCCTAGCTAGGTTGACCCACTATATTAGCACGTGCCTTCATTGTATTGTCAGTTCATTGAGTCGCATCTTCGTTATTCGTTATTCCTCTTACTCTCTTTTACAACTCATAACAGGCAGGGTGTTTTTCCTAAATCGTTGGTATCATTCCATCGTTGCTGTCCATTGAGACATTGCTTCATTCTTGACACTAGCTTGAGGCCTTGCGCCCGGGCCCGTTTCTATCACTTCGTTCTGGATGAAGGCGAGGCGACGCGACCGCCACAAGTTCCGCTCTGGCCCCACTCCCCTCCCTCATCGGATGCCACGCCGCCCGCCAGTTAGACTCTGTCGCTTTCCGTCACAAAATCGCAACCGCTATTCGCCGACGTCGCGAGCGAGATACGGAACGTACCCACCCAGAACTCCCTCCCAGGCCATTCAGGAATCCTCCTCCTCTCCACCGACTGGCACCGTACAAGGTTCCTCCCAAACCTCGACGTTCAATTCAATACCTAGGTTGTTTCGGAAGGGTGATATGGGATGGAGTACGTTGATGCTAGGCGATTATACGTTGGGGTTGGGTGGAGAGAAGCAGTGGAAGAGGATAAGGTCAGCTGTTACTTCTTCTCTCTCCTTGCATGCAACAAGGAACCTCTTCTACCCGTGTGGGGTGCCATGTTATGCTCTTCTCCTCTTTCCTGCTCCTCAGTCACATCTCCCCACATTGTGCTGCAAGCAAGGTTTCAGCTGCTTTACCAGTCGACCATTGCAGGCTCGTGTGCATTCCCTCTGTTGTCGTTGATTCATCCTCACCAAATGTATGCCAGATTTTTGTTAGTCACTTAATTTCGATAAGCTCGGTCTCCCTTGTCCTCGTGCCTCATATTTTCGGAAGCTATTTCTTACCGCGTTAGCATTTCTGCCGGCATCCCATCCACCCTGCGTCTCTCGCGTTCAATCAATTCAAAGCCTTCAATTCGACGGTCTGCCACGACCTATTCCGTCCTTCGCACGCGCTGAATATTCCTCAGGTCCCAACATGATTCTCTTAGGACAGCGCCTTCACCGCTTTCTTCCTCCCGACCCTGAAATGGACATTTTTTCCGCTAACAACGGCGGTACCTCCTCTCCGCCATGGCAGCTTTCGCCTCCCCACGGGTCCCCTCTCACGCTCAAATCCGCCTGTCGCTACCCTGAACGCACGTGTTTCAAGTGTGCCTCGCCGCTCACATCCACTCACACATCCGCGTCGGCATCCACGTCGACGTCCACGTCGGCGTCCACGTCGGCGCCCACGTCAGCATCCACGTCGGCACCCACTTCCCCCGTCGCTTACAAACGAGCGTTACCTTCTTCCACCTCGCCGTCAGCCCGCTCGCCTCCCGCTGCCCCAGTCGGCGCGCTCCCCGGCTCTTCCAGCCTTCCGCCTCCGCTCCTCCCAGTCAGCCCGCGGAGCGAACCCCCCTTCCGTCCCGCCTGCCACCTCTCTCTCTCCCCCGTTCGCCTCGCTCCGTTATCGCCCTCGTTGCGCCCTTGTAACGTGAACTCCCGCTGCCCCTGCGCGATCGGGAATGACGGGAGGAGCAGCGGGAGCGACAGCGAGGAGGGAGGAGAGGAAGGAACCTGCGAGAGCTACTGCAGTAGCTGCTGCTTCTGCTGTGCGTGCGCCAGCAGCTGCGGCGCCAATGGCGGCGAGACAGGTGATTTCGCCCGGACCGGGGATTGCAGCGGCTGTAACGGCGACGAAAACGAGCCGTGCAGCCCTCTGCCCGTCTCTTACGGCGGCCGCGGCTCGCTTCGCGCTGACGACGACTACAAAGACGATGGCGGCGACGGCGAGAAAAACAGCAATAACAGCAACGACGACGCAGTAGACGTCGACGGGAGTCATGGGTCCCGCATAGGGGGCAACGTGAGAGGGAACGTTAGCAACGAGGGGGATGAGGCGACGAATCAGCCTAGCACGGAGCAGGTAGCCATGGGAGGCAGTGGCAGCGCGGTTGGTACGTCTGCTGGCAGGAGCAGTGGGGGTGGTGGTACGTCTGCTCGTAGTAGCGAGTCTGGCGATCCCTCTACCTCGTCGTCTCGTGCTCGCGGTTGCGATGATGCCCCGAACGCAACTACTGTCACCACCACAGCCGCCGCCGCCGCCGCCGCGTCAGCAAGTGCGAGTCCTGCAAGGTTGTCTGGGAAGGAGCACGGAGGTGTGCCAGTTACCAATGAGTACGGCGGCAGCCAAACCACACCTGGGGGTACATTCTCTCATCTTCACCCCTCCTCTTCCTCCGCCGCCTCCCCCTCCTCCCCCTCCTCCTCTGCGTCCACGCCAGCACCCTCTTTCGCCTCCACATCACCGTTCGCCGCGTTTGTCCCCGTTACAGACGTCTCCAGTATTCTCTCCGCCCCGCGGGCTCTCCAGCTCTCTAAATCCGCCAAGAATCTCGTGGCTGCCGCCTCCGGCCTAGCAGGCGCAATCAACACGAGTGTGGGCGTCATCAACACGAGCGCAATGAGCGATTTCCTGGCGACAAGTGCGAGTCACATGGACAGGATTATGAGGCGCAGCAGCTCTGCATCTGCTGTTGCTCCAGTTGTTACTCGCTCGACTGTTTCTGCTCATGCTCAGCTGGCTGTATCAGCTGAGGCTGTAACTGGGCAGGTGGGAGCAGGCCAGGCTGTAGCAGGCCAGGCTGTAGCAGGCGTAGCAAGTGGGGCCGAAGGATCACGTGGATTAGGTGCAGATGGCGCTGATGCTTCTGCTGGTGCTGCTGGTGCAGCAGCACACAGCGCATGCCAAGGCGATCAACGGTGTGCAATCGGCGGGGGAGCAGATGGGGGGGAATGTACGGATATGACTAGGGTGGGCAATGGTGCTGGGGTTGCTGGTGGTAAGCGTGAATTAGAGCAAAAGCGCGAGGCGCTGGAGGGCCTGCAGCAGGAGCAGCAGCAGGAGTGCCAGAGGCAGGAGCGGCAGCATGAGCATCGTGTGCGTTGGGAGGAGTGGCAGCAGATGGCTGTCCGTTTGCATGAGCAGATACAACAAAAGATGCTGACCCCAACAAAGGAGGGGGAGAAGGACAAGCCGATCGTGGGGGCCACTGGTGGGGGACCAAACATTCAGAGCGGGTCACTGGAGGGATTGGCAGTAGCAGCAAGTGGCTGTGTCGCAGATGGTGTTGCAGATACGCACACAGGCCCTCCTGTTGCTGCTGCCTCAACTGCGCCTGGAGAGTGCACTTTAGAGGAAGGGCATGTTTCAGCAGTTCCGAACAACTCGGGCTTGGAGACTTTGGGCTGTGATGAGTCAGGAGCGGTCCTGGGGGATGGCCGAACAGGTGTTGCTGAAGCTGGGGGTGGAGATGGGGGTAGCAGCAGCCGGGTCGGATGGGAAGTGGCTGGATGGTTTCGTCAGGTGACAGGATGGGAAGGCGCAGTTGGGACTGTTGGATTGCCATCTGAGCGGGCTGGACTGCTTAGGACGAATGGGTAACATCAGCAGAAGCAGCTGGAGGCTGGAACTAATTAGGTTGTGAGTCTGTGAGGCTCTAAATTGCAGGTTAGGGGTTCTATTGTTGCAGCCTACTAGGTCTGTTGCGTTATATTTTAAAAAATAGGACTAGGAGTCTGTCTGAAAAGGTTTCGCGAGTAGGTCTATTTTGTTATTTACGGTACGCTTCAGCCATGCATATTATAACTCTACTCATGTGTTGTCTTACCCATGCATTGATCATATAATGGTTATGCAAATTACACTGGTTCTGTGTCTTCCCATCTGCTCCTTGATTCCAAGCAGGATCATCCAGATTATCTTTCAGGACGCGTCACCTCTCTCGATTTTGCACGATCGATCGTCAAAAACCGATCGCCCACCGCACTCAAAACATGCTTGCTACATTTTACTTCTTCTTAACTGTTTTCAAATCCGTAAACATTCGATCCTGCGCAGGATCGATCGTGCAAAATCGAGAGAGGTGACGCGTCCTCAGTAGACAGTAAGATTCTGTTTCGTAGATTTTTTTTACCATCCAGGTGTACTGGGGACTGCTTTAAACGAGTCAAGATGGAGGGGGGTCACGCGCTCAACGGCGAGCTTGGCAAACGTGCGTCAGTGGACGAGAATGATGCTTTGAATCAGGATCTGTTCAGCTGGATAAATGGAACCGAGATTGGCCAGTGCACGTAAAATCCTATCCCGATTTGCCCAGGAGTGGGTCTCGAGATATGAGTTTTAGCTAAGAGCGCATTATGCGAAAGCTGCTCTAGGAGCAGGACCGCGTCTGCATACAGGTCAGCACCGCGACACGCCATTATGGGGGCGAAATCTGCACATTGATTGGGCTTCGAAGGTCGTTTTCGTTGTAGGCACACATCGCACGCAGACCTTATGGCGAAGTGACCAGGGCGACTCGTTCTCGAGTCGCTTTGACTCGATCTCCCCATCCGACGGTTCTACAAGGGGCAAGAAGGGGGAATGCGAGCCGCGTAGGTGCCCTATCGGTACGGATATCCGCGGTTCGGCTCGCCACGTTCCAAACTATGGCGATCAATCACTTGATTAGGAAGATCCCTCACCACTACTGTACAACACAATAAAAGGCGCGGGCATCAACTGAGCAACATCATTCATTCGAGCGTAGATCCCTTTACTTCTCTCAGTAGTTATCCAAAGCCCTCAGAGTTCTGAGCGACCACCAAGTACCTCCAAGGAGCAGACCCTCCCAGCCGACATCTCTCGTCCACCCCTACATAATTTTGAAGATCTGACATTTCTGCTTGACGACATGGGCACCAGCAGCCAGCGGCGGTTGTACAAGCGCGCGATATTCGTTCTACTGGCAATCACCTTGATTGCTTTGCATGCACAGGCGGAAGGCAGGCCCTCGGCACGGATCGGCGGTGGCACGCGCGGAGCAAAGAGGCGGTCCATGCAGGCTGCAACATGCTTGCCATCGCAGCTTGAAGGGTTCACTTCGTCCAAGATCCTCAAAAGAGGGTGCGCATGGTTGAAAACTCATCAACCCGGGCGCGCGACGACGCGCGCGCGCTATTCTCCTGCTTCTCTTTCCATCGACTCCCTGATTTCGGCACCGCTTTATACTCCATGGCTCCGATATTCCCTCAGTGTGTTATTCCACAGCGCGCTTTTGGATATTCTCCCCCTCCGTTGTTTTACTCCCCCTTCCCCCCTTCACCATGCAGACTCCGCCTCCACTGGAAGCCCGCCGTCGGCAACAAGATCGAGCTCGCCGTCGAGGCGCGCGTGGGAAGCGGCGCCGCCAAGGGCTGGATCGCGGTAGGCTTCAAGCCAGGTATCGACGCGGCCACCGCCGACGCGGTGATTGGGCAAACCAGCACAGCTCCCGTGGCGGCATACACTATCTCACCCGACGGTCAGGTCATGCTGACAAACACCTTCTCTATCGGGGATGCGACTCTGGAGCGGTCGCGCCTGCGCGCTGTTATCCGCTTCACGCGGAATAACGGCGACGGGGCTGTGCACGTGAAGGTCCGTGGGCAGAACACAATCATATGGGCGTACGACATCGACGGCGAGAAGGCGATAAACTACCAGAACCGTCGATCGTAAGTTTCTGCTGCTACCGTGGAAACGCTCTACGCCTGCTGCAACCACGGTTTTCCTGCACTCGTTGCTCCCTCGTGCGTCCTTCGATCCTTTTCAAACCGATCGGATTGCCCATAGCACCCAACTGTCCGTCGCCAGTCGGAGATAGTACGCATCCAATTTCTCTTATCTGCCTCGTCGCATCTCTCCCCGAATTTACTCGTACATCTTCGTATCCCAGGGGCTCGGTCGTGGTAAACTTCGGCTGCGTGGGAGGCGCGTCTGCGGTCGAGAATCCCCTGAACCCCATTCCGGGCAGCAATAGCGGGATGGCCACTACCACTGTTCCTGCCGCGCCCGCCTCGCCCGCCGTGCCCGCCATTGGCTACTGCCCCAAGTCCAGCCTTGCCGGATACGCCTACTCTGCCAATCTCGACGGCGGCAGGTGCGACCCGCCGCTCGGAGCTAGTTGCCCTCTAAGCTTGTTACATTTGGCTCCAGCTCAGCCTGTTCGTGCCTGAGCTTCTCCTTTCGAATCGTGCTGACGTACATTTGACTCCCCCGCCTCCCCCCTCCCCCGCCTCTCCCCGCAACCTGATTCCGCTGCCTCCAGCTTTGTGCTGCACTGGAAGCCTGTGCAGGGGCAGGCGATTCAGATGGCTATGGAGGCCACGGCTGGCAGCAGCGCGTCTAACGGCTGGTTCGGCATCGGGTGGTCGCGCGACGGGTCCATGTCGCCGAGCTACTCGGTGATCAAGAGCGGCTCGTCCCTGGCCGCGTACTACATCAACGGCTACAAGCGCAAGAACGTGGCGCCCACGAACGAGATTTCGCTCGGCACGCCGTCGCTCTCTCGCTCTGCTGCGGGTTCCCTCATTGCGCAGTGAGTGCTCCCTACTACGCCTATTTCCTTATGACCACCGTCGCGCTTCTCCTGTCGATTTCGATCCCGCAAAAAGTATTTGCGGTTGTCGGCGGGGATGTCAGACTGAACTGGTATCGTGTCTTAAAGGTCCGCCAAACTCTCTGCTGCGCAGGTTCACTCTGAGGGGAGGGGAGGGCAAGATTCCGCTCAAGCCATCCGGGCTGAACTACATCATCTGGGCGTACAGCACGGGCAACCAGGGCATCGGCTTCCACGGCTCCAACGTGTACGTCTCGCGCTGCCCCCACTTATCTGGTCTCTGCTTTTGGGCAACGCTTCTTGGAAGTTTTGCAATGTTTCTTGGTGCTGTGAGGAGGATATTGGGCTGATATTCTCTGTTGTCGTGATTCCTGTGCAGTGGCTGGGTAAAGATTGATTTCTCCTGCCAATTTTGGACTGACGGCATGGCCCCGACGAACACTGGCTCCAGCGGCAGTGGCAGCAGCGGCAGCAGCAGCAGCAATAACAATGATGACGATGATGATGATGATGATGATGATGATGATGATGACAATGACAATGACGGAAACCGCTCCTCCTGGGCTCGGGATATGAACCAGGCTAGTGGCAAGTATTATGCGGACCAGGGCACGACCTACTGGGAGGGTGTAGGGCAGGGTGTGGCTGAGCTGGCTGCTCCCTTGGAACTGAAGAAGCGGCTCAAGGCGGCAGAGGAGAGGAGGAGGCAGGAGCAGGATGCGTATAACCGACAGGTGGCCCGCCAGGTGTATGGCCCCACGCAGGGCACTGATAATGATGATGGTAATTAGAGACCTTGGTGTGTTGCTTAGCTGAGAAGGTTAGGTAGGCTAATAGAGGTAATGATTCTTTGTGATGGATAATAGATCCTCACCTTGGCAGAGCTATGCTTTAGTTTGTCCTAGAGAATGGTGCCATTGCATCTGTCCTTGATTCCTCTATTTATTATTTCTGCAGTCAGGTCATTATGGAAATATTTGTACACCATTACCACAACCATGAGATTGACCTCCCTAGGTTATTGAACCCATGAATCTCATCCCAGGATCGACTCGTCACCAAACTGAACCCAAGCTATCTATTCTAGCAGGCCTCGTTACCTTTCCCAACCTCGTTGAAAGAGCAAACATCAAGGTACATGCCACTTGTTAGCTTTCAACCCAGAGAGTGCTTTTCCCTCGCCCAGCAACATTTCCACTACTCGTTGCCGTTACGCCTCGACGGCTTCGCAATCCCCGTGTCCCTCCGCGCTAGAAAATCTGACTGCTGGGAAAGTTCTTGCGACGGATGCGAAGCTTTTTGCCAGGCTTCCTTCGTCGTGACCTATCGAAGCCAAACCCGCTTCGCGAGTAGCTATCAGGCACCATGGACTCTTCAGAAACCCACAGAAGCATCTGCTTTTCCGCTTTTTGAGTCGACTAAAAAATCATTCTTGCCTATCGAAGCCAAACCCGCTTCGCGCGTAGCTATCAGGCGCCATGGACTCTTCAGAAACCCACAGCAGCCTCCGCTTCTCCCCTAGCCCTACCTCGAGAAGCCATGTCAGCAACGCTTCTAGCGGCGACAAACACGGCGGCGACAGAGGAGGCAGCAGCAGCAGGCACCGCCGCCGATCTAAGAAGCGTCGGCGGGTTTGCCGCGCGGAGACCGTTATGCTTGTAATGATGCTGACAGTATCGGGGATGGCGCTAACTGGCTCGCTGCTCCTACTTCCCATGCGGCTGCCCCGGATCGGCTTGCCCGAAGGTCTCATGGGGCCGAGGAAGCTAGTAATGCGCCGCCATAGCCACGAGCGGTTCGGAGAAGAAAAGGGCGTGTTGGACGCTATGAGGGGCGACGACGAGGAGAAGGTTTCGAGTAATGAGTCGATTAATCAGGTTGTGCACGCACATGGCGGGGAGTCGATACGGAAAGGGGAGGTGATGGCTGGTGTTCAGGAGGACTTGCGCGAGAACAAGCCGTCGTTGACTTCTCTGACTGCTGCATCCACGTCAGCATCCATTACACCTGGATCACTCACTTCGTCCTCCTCGTCCCCCTTCCCATCCTCTGCCCGCCCGTCCCCATCTGTCGCCATCTGTCTCGTGGGCTCCCCACGCGACTTCCACATAACGGGTCCCTCTATGAAGCGGCACCTGCTCTCCGCGTATCCCGCTGCGGCCACGCACGTCATCGTCAACAGCCCCTTCGATCACACCTCTGCGCGCCTCCTCGCGCTCGCGCTCGCTTCCCCTGCCCCGCCACCGCTCTCCACCCCACCACCACCGCCCTCCGCCCCTCCGAACGCCTCTCGTGGTGCAACTTTCCCCCTGGATCCCGCCTTCTCCCGCGTCTCCCTGCTGCGCATCTCCCCCCACGTCCCCCTCCCCGTGTCCCCCCAGGCCTCGCGCGTGCTCAATGCGGAGGGCTCCCCCAGTGGCGCGCAGGTGGGCGGAGCAGGGGGAACAGGGAATGGGAGGGGAGAGGGATGATGGAGGGGAGGTGGAAGGGTATTCATGGGGATGGAACCAAGAGGGGTAAGGGAGATTTTGTGTATGGTCTTGATTGTATGGTCTTGATTTTGTGTAGGGGTTCTCTCCTCTGGGGTTCTCTCCTCTCCTCTTCGTCCGTCGTCCGTTTAGTGATGGAGCAGGGTGTGGTTGTCGTGTGCCATAGTAACGAGGTGACTTTTGAGTCTACTCAGAAGTCACCATGGAGCGGGGTGTGGTTGGCAGGGAGAGTAGGAAAGGGCACGGAGGGGGAAGAGGCAGGCAGGGGGGAGGGAGGGTGGGCGGTGGGAAAAAGGATAGAGGGAAATGAGGGGGGGTATGCCGACGCTTGCTTGATACATGGATTGGTTGGCTTTGTTTGTGTGTTTCTTTCTTTGGCTCTTCCACGTGTGTTTGTCCCCACCCCATGCCTTCCCCCATGCCCCTTGTCTCCCAGGGCTTGCTGCAGTGCTTCCGTCTGGTAGAGGGCTCTGCTTCCCTTCTCGAAGCTCCTTATGAATACACCCCATGCTCCCCCCCTCCCTGGCTCCTCTTCCCCTGTGCCATTTCTCCATGCGCGGTATCCCCCAGGGCTTGCTGCAGTACTTCCATCTGGTTGAGGGCTGTGCTTCCCTCATTGCTCTCCTGGAACACTCCTCCTCCTCCTCCTCCTCCTCCTCCTCCTCCTCCTCCTCCTCCTCCTCCTCCTCCTCCTCCTCCTCCTCCTCCTCCTCCTCCTCCTCCTCCTCCTCCTTCTCCTCCTCCTCCCCCTCCGCCTCCCCTCCTTCCCCTCATCCACTCCACATCGACTACATCATCCGCTCACGCCTTGACTCCTTCTGGACCGCCCCTGCCCCTCCTCTCTCCTCGCTCCACCTCCCTCCCACCACACTCCAAACTCCTCCTGCTAACTCCGCTGCCAACGTCACTGCTACTACTGGAGGTACCGTTGCCAGCATGACTCCTCCTGCAACGGTTGCTGGTGATACCACCACTGCTGCTGGTTCTGCTGCTGCCGCTGCCGTCCCTGTCTCACCTGCAGCATCTGCCTCTGCAGCAGCGGCCGAAACAGCAGCAGCAGCAGCAGCAGCAGCAGCAGTGGTGGCAGTGCCGATGGGGTCGGAGTGGGGGGGAGTGAACGATCGGTTTGCCATGGGGCGGAGGAGGGGCGCGTGGGAGGGGCTCATGCGCCTCACGGCCGTGGCAGCCTTGGATGGGCGGGGGATCAGGTGATGCGCCAGGTGAGAGGGGGGGTGGCGCAAGCGGGAGGGGACAGGGGAGGGGGACGGAGAGCGGGGTAGGGGAGGGGCAAGGGAGAGGGCAGCGCATTTCCCCACTCCTTCCCGTTTTTCCCCACGCCTTGGCACTCCTATAACCTCTTTCCCGTTCCCCTTTTCCACCCTCCAGCCTACCCTCCGCGCCCCACACCCCCACTTTCCCCCTCTCATCTCGCTGAGTCTGACGGAAATACTTCTTAAATATTCCTCAAGTATGCTCCCTTAAATACTCCTTCCCCCCTCACCGGTTTTCCCTCTTTTCTTGCACCTTCCCCCCATCTGCCATCTTCCTCCCATCAATCATGTGTATGAATGCGCGCGCGTGTGTGGGGGGAACGGGGTTGCGTACAGGGGAGTGATATCAGAGCAGGCGTGGCAGGAGCAGCTGAGCATGAGTGGCACTACAGTGCTGAAGTTGAATGTCTCTTTCTGTGTTCTCACTCGCCGCTTCACCCACCGCCCCACACCCACCACCACCAACACCACCGCCAACACCACCACCACCAACACCAGCAACACCAGTAGCATCAGCAGCAGCAACACGAGAAGCGGCAGCGGCAGCGGCAATAATAGTGGGAACCCAATCAGCAGCAGCATCACCAACAGCAGCAGCGCCAACACCAACAACACCAACAGCACCGCCCAGAGCAACCTCTCCTCTCTCTGCCAGCCATACGTATTCTCCCTGGCCTCTCCCATCCCCATGAATGGTGCGTACTGTCGCCCCTGCACGCATCCCTGCGCCCCTGCCTCCTCCCCTGCTGCTGCTGCAGCCTTCAACACCCTCCCCTCGCCGCCCTCTCTTCACCACGGCTCTGCGTTTCCTTTGTTTCGAATGGGCATGGAGCTCTGCCCTGCTGTTGATACCCTGGGGGATGAAGGGGACGATGGGGACTGGGAGAGGGACGGGGAGGGGGGTGGTTGGGAGGGGAAGGGACAGAGCGAGAAGGAAAAAAGTGAGAAGGAGGAACGGAGCGAGGAGGAGGGGTGGCAGGATGGGGTGGCACGTGTGGCAGGGCAAGCAGCAGTGGAGGAGAGCGAGAGGGTGGAGCAGCAGGTCAGGAACTACACCGCATGCCTCGCTCTCTTCCGAGCCATGCAAGCACAGCCCCATGTACTGGCGTGGATGTCACCTCCCCCAGATGTCATCTGTACGAGAGCTCACCTGGGGCCGTCTGTGCCGCTTGCATCGTCCCCGGGTCTGGCGCCGTTCCCTGTCTTTCTCAGCCGGCTCTCCTATTCCAGGTAGGTACTGTACTGCAGGCAGAGTTCATACCGCTGGCTTGTCGCTGTATTGTGCCTCTTCGTTCCCTCTAAAGGCCGCGCTGTCTTACAACCATTTCGAGATCTCTCAGTGCTGCATGTGACACACACACACACGCACGCACGCACGCACGCACGCACGCACGCACGCACGCACACATACTAGAAGGACTCCCATCCTCTGTTTGCCATGGATGGAGCTGATCTGCATCTGCCCTTGTGCCCTTAGACGACTTTTGATTTTGAGACGTCTCAAAAGTCATCGCCTCTGCTCTGTTTGCCATGGATGGAGCTGATCTGCCTCTGCCCTTGTGCCCTTAGGACCACATGCTTCGGACCCCTGTCTGTGACCCTTCCTTCACTGCCCCTCTCTGCCCCTCTCTGCCCCTCTCTGCCCCTTCACTGCCCCTCTCCGCCCCTCCCCCTGCCAGCATCGTGGTGACTGTAGCAGCAGACCCTTCCCTCACACACCTGCTTTCCATGGAGCTGCGCCTGGTGCTGCCGGGCATACTTCCTTCTCTCCACGGCACACACTCCCTCCCTCTCTTTCCCCGCCGCTCCTCCCCCCCAGCAGCACCGTGGTGATTCTCACATCGGATCCCTCACTCACGGACCTGCTATCAATGGAGCTGCGCCTGCTGCTGCTGCTGCCTGCTCTGGACGTCACATGCACCCTCTCTCTCTTTCCCCCGCCACGCCTCCCCCTCTCTCCCCCTGCCAGCACCGTGGTGACTCTAACAGCAGACCCCTCGCTCACGGACCTGCTATCCATGGAGCTGCGCCTGCTGCTGCCGGGCATACTTCCGCGCTGCATGGACTGGCACGGCCGCATGCTGCTGCCCTTTGGGGGCCTTGGGGGCGAGGCCGAGGCCGAGGGGGAGGGCGAGGGGAATGGGGAGGGGGAGGGGGAGAATGACGGAATTTTGTCCCCAGGGGCCAGCGGTGGTGACAGTGCTGATGATGGTGGGGGTGGTGGTGGGGGTGATGATGTTGAGGAGGAAGATGAGCAGGCTGTTGTGAGCGCCAGTCGGCGCATGGCACAGCACATCACCGCCCATGGACCTCTAGATGTCCTCGTGGTAATCTCTCCTTCCTTGCCGTCCCTCTCCCTTGTTCTCTCTCTTCAGAGATGAAGGAAGGGCGGGGAGGTGTGCCAGTACCCCTGTCCATCTCGCCCGCACAACTCTTTTCTCCTCGTTTTGTCGCACATTTGACCCGACGACCACTCCGATCGTCTCGTGTATTCTGATCGATCCCTGCTTTTGTGAGTCTGTTTGTGGTCACCTCAGTTTCCTTTCTTAACTGAACGTCATGCTCCCTGCTCCCTGCACCATTCTTTGAGGCGCCTCAAAAGCTGCCCCCCCCCCATCCATTTTGTTTCTTCGTGCTGCTTGCTTCATTGCTTGCCTTTCCTACCCTTGACTGCTTGCTTGCTTCTTTGCTTTCACGCGTGCGTGTGCACTTGCGTGTGCGCTCTCGTGTGCTTCCTTGACTCATGGTCCTCGCAGATGCCGGAGGTCAACTGCGTGGTGAGGACGGCCAGAGCATGGAGCAGGGACAAGGTACTTTGTGCTGCTCTCCCTTGCTGCTCGCACATGCACGTCATCACATGCATTTCATGCCGTCACATTCTTCCCATCGCGCAAAAACCTTCAAATCTAAACCCATCTCCCGTCACTGTTCTTCACCCACCCACCCACCCACCCACTCCCTCTCTCCACCCTCCTCTCACCTCCACCCTGCTCATCCCCATCTCCCTCCACCCACCCTCCCTCCCTGGCCCAGGCCACTCTACCAGTGTGCCAGCTGGTGGTCTCCGTCCCTCCCCCACTGGATGAGGCATCTTCCTATCATGCCACTCCTCTCTCTCCTCGCTCTCCACACTCTCCTCACGTTGCCCCCGATGACCCTCTCCGCCATTACACTGGTGCCTTCTCCATGCTCCTCTCGGACCTCTTCCTGCTAGGGTGAGTGTGTGCATGAGAGAGTGAGCGAGTGAGTGTGCGAATGCGCGAGTGAGTGAATGAGCGGGTGAGTAGAGTGAGTAGAGTGAGTGAGTGAATGAGCGAGTGAGCAAGTGAGCGAGTGAGTAGAGTGAGTGAGCAAGTGAGTAGAGTGAATGAGTGAGCAAGTGAGTAGAGTGAGTGAGTGAGTGAGCAAGTGAGTAGAGTGAATGAGTGAGCAAGTGAGTAGAGTGAGTGAGTGAGTGAGCAAGTGAGTAGAGTGAGTGAGTGAGTAGAGTGAGAGAGTGACTGAGTCTGTTAGGATCATTTTGTAAACTAGTGAGTGGATTGAGTGAGTGGGCGAGTGACTGAGTGAGTGAGTGAGCGAGTGAGTGAGCGAGTGAGTTTGTAAGTGAGTGCACTGCAATCTTCCCTTTTACCACCGTCACTTCCTGCATCGTATGTTATGATGCAGCTTCCATTTGGCAGCATGAGAGGGGGATGCAGCCTACAGCACATGTTCCACACCACGTGCTCCAGCCCTCCCTCCCCCCCACTCTACACCCACCCATACTGCTCCGATTGAACCATGTCACCCCGCAAGTCACTTCCCCTGATTTTGTTGCCTACTCGCTTCTGTCTGCCCATAACTGTCTACCATAACTGTCCCATCTCTTTTTGTCACCCTCCCCAACGCTTCCCCCTCCCCACTCTTTCCCACAATGCCCCTTGGTGTTGCAGCTTCCATCTGGCGGCATGTGAGGCGGATGCAGCCTATAGTACACACGCGTGCCTCTTTTTCAGCGTGCACTACTGCCTGCAGCAACCAGCCAGCAGCAACCAGCAAGCAACGACCAGATGACTCGTGACTGATTGAGCAGCGAGGCAGATGCAGCGAACTGCTATTTTCAGCATGCCCCACTGCGTGCCAGGCAGGGAGCAACCAGCATCCCGCATCTAGAGACCAGCGACCAGGGAGTAGTCGCAAAATATTGCAGGAGAGGAAGATGAATTTGTGTAAACACTGCATGGCAGCGGTGGCTGGCTGTTGGTTAGAGAGTGGCACTAAAAACACAACTTCTTTGCTTGTATCATTTGTGCACTGTAGGAAATGACGCATTTGCACCTGTTTAAGCATGACTCCATTATTCTTTCACTCCACGTGCATTTTACTTTTCTAGTTGCTACAGAAGTAATAACACCGTATAGCGGAATCGCATCCACAAGCGGGTACGCTGCCATCCCTTTTTGTGGTGAGGGGTGCACACCCATTTACGGGTCGCGAATGCACGATGAATGAACCTCGCATAGTCGATATACCGGCCAACTTCATTCATACTCAGATTAGTCCCGAGCGAGTTCTCAGGTGTAATCAACCTGGACTTTCTCGACGTTGATTGGTCTTCGCTGTTTAGTCACACTGTTTACGCTGGTCGAAATGTTTGGGAGGTGACAAAAAGAGAACTATCTAGTTAACCCTTCCGACTTGGATTTGTTAAATTAAAGTACGTGAATTTACGACAGGGCAGAAAAAATAAACCCCTATAGAATCTGGACGCATTTGCGGGAGGGATCAGCCCTAAACACGGTAAAGGGCTTTGTTTTTAGGGTTGATGCCTCCCGAGTCGCATCCCTTCTCGATTGGGTTTTATTTTTTGGGTCAAGAGGGTGCAATATATTTTTCCTGAAGTGGGCGGCTTCCCGTAGTTTGAGGTTGATCTGTCTCGAAATTAATCTAGGTTCGCTACAAGTTGTAGCCTTTTCAGGTGTTGCCTTTTCTGTAGTGACTGTATTCAGAAAACAACAAGAAACGCCTACTACTATATCGCGAAACTGTGTTTCTGTTAGTGTTTACACCTGAGATTCCGCTCGGGAATACTTTGAGTATCCATGATATTGGCCGGTCGATAAACCTGTCTTCGTCATTGTGCGCCTTGCGTCGCCATCCTTTTCGCAAATAAGGTGTTACATGAGTGGAAAATATGGCGGGAATGTTCAATAAACCAAACAGTTGAGTACGGTGCCACTGACAAAGACCAGGGCTTCGATGTCAAAAATATGGATCCGCTGACAATCCAGTGGATGACTCGTTCAGTCTGACAAAATAGTTGCTTGTTGACGAGTAGGATCCAGGTTACCTAAATAGTAGCAGGGCGGACAGCTATTCATCAATCTCTTCAATTCTCCCCATTTCACAATGCTGGCCGGATCGCCGATCCAGCGGCTGCCTGAGGAGCTGCTCTCTCGCATCCTTAATTTTCTCGTTCGACCTGATGGCCGGCTGGAGCACGTAGTTGTTAGCAGGCAGTGGCGTCACATCGCCTACCACGTGCAACATGAGCTTCACTTGCACGATAACCTTCGAATGGATCCGCATCGCATCGTTCAGCTTCTGTCGCCGTTTCTTAACCTAAAAAAACTCATTCTTCACTCTGGCAGCATCACCTCCGCCTCTAATATTTTATTCTCTCGCCTCGCTGACGTGTGTCCTCATTTGACCGAGCTTCGTGTTGAACCGATGTCACGTGAATCTAGCTACGGAGGTGTCACTGAGAAGAGTCTCGTTGCTCTGTTCGACGGGTGTACGCGCCTGGAAGATCTGTGTCTTTATTGTTCGGAGCATGCTGCCATTCCCCCGTCTATGGACCGACTCTCACGGCTCACGAACTTAACCCTCAGAGCACGCGTTACGCGTCTTCCCGACACTCTCACCTCGCTACAATCTCTCCGAAGCCTCGTGCTGAAAACTTCTATGCTTGAAGCTTTACCTCAAGATTTCGGCAACCTGCTTTCCTTAACGTCGCTGGAGCTGCACAAATGCCCCTTGGCGTCACTTCCGGAATCTTTCGGGCAGCTTGCCGCTCTGAGCCGTCTTTCCTTGCGTCACTGCTTGGCGTTGCAGCTGCCGGCCTCTTTCACCGGACTTTCTTCTCTCACCTTCCTGGAGGCTCGGCGATGCGAGATCCTTCCTCCGTCACCGGTCGATTTCGGTCAACTGCGGGCCCTTGAAACCCTCATTTTGGTTGTAGTGACGGGAATGCGCGACTTGTTCGCGGCTCTCGAACATTTGCAGCGAGTGAAGACTCTAGTTATCGAGCTCTGCAGTGATATCACGTCTCTGCCCGCGTCTCTTCCCCGACTGCCTGCACTCACCGATCTCACTCTTGACATAGCACAACTCTCAGTGCTGCCCGAAGATTTCGGGCAGTTGTCACAGCTTCGGACACTCGTGCTGGACCTTTGGAGTCTCACAGCCCTACCTGACTCCATCGCTCTAGTTACCACGCTTCAAGAGCTATCCCTCAATCATCTTGTTAATCTGACATATTTGCCCCATGAGTTCGGCCAGCTGGTTGCTTTGAAGAAGCTGTGCTTAAAATACCTTCATCAGCTCAAAAACCTGCCTGAAACCTTCGGGCAGTTGACAGCCCTCCAGGAGCTGAAATTGCTCGAGTGTAAGAAGCTGCAGCAGCTCCCGGACTCCCTGTCGCAGCTGTCATCTCTCGAGCACCTGGAGATTAACATATGTCCGGACCTCACGGCACTGCTAGATGACATGGGCAAGCTGCACTCGTTGCGCCATCTGCTGCTACTGGACTGCACGGCTCTCACCCACCTCCCTCCGTCCTTCTCCGGCCTGACGTCTCTCGAAACCTTCAAGATCTTACATGCGAAGCGCTTCAAGGGCGCTCTGATGGACGGCTTTGGCTGCTTGAAAAGCCTCAAGGAGTTGTCGCTCTTTAGTATGCCGCGCCTATCCGCCCTTCCTGCTTCGTTCTCAGGTGTTTTCTCTCTCACCAGCCTGGAAGTGGGAAATTGCCCTAAAGTAACGGCCCTGCTGGAGGGAATCGGACGGCTGGAGGCGCTTGTGGAGGTCAGGATCTCTGAGATGAACGGCCTGGATTGTCTCCCTCCGTCGCTCTTTGAGCTGCCCTGCCTGCGGGTGTTGGAGATGCGAGCATGTGGTGGGCTGAGTGCGGTGCTAGGCGATGAAAATGTGCTTGAACGTACTGCTTTGGGCTTTTCGGCCAGCAGCAGCAGCAGTAATAACAGCAGCAGTAGCAGCAGCAGCAGCAGCAGCAAAGCGTTCCTTCCTTCCATTCAGAGCCTCAGGCTAAAAGAGCTTAACGTCAAATCCTTTGGTCCATCCCTTGGCCTTCTGCCCTCTCTGACACAACTAAAGCTCCTGAATATGTACAGACTTGAATCTCTCCCTGACTCTATCTCTCACCTCTCCCAGCTGCAAAGCCTCCGGATTAACTCGGCCGTAGGTCTGAAAGCACTGCCCAGGACCCTTGGAATGCTCTCAGGGCTGCGTGTCTTGCAGCTGGTTCGGCTCATCACTATGCGCCAGCTGCCCGAGTCTCTCGGGCAGCTTACGATGCTCGAGACGCTGGATTTTGTCGATTGCTTCAAGCTGATGCAGCTTCCGTGGTCGTTCTCGAATCTAACAAAGCTACGGTCCTGCACTCTCATCAAGCTCGGCATCTCAGCCTTTCCAGATGGTATCTGTAATCTCTCTTCTCTCCAGAAGCTGCTGATCCTGGGACTGAAGCAGTTGAGAAGCTTGCCGGGTTCGTTCACTCGGCTGCCTAAGCTTGAGGATTTGCAGGTGTCTTTCTGGAAGAAGCTGGCTTGAGTGCCGCCCTCTCTCCGGAGAATGCCAACGTTGCGAGAGTACTATATCAGTGACTGCCCTTTGCTCTCAGAGCGGGTCATGAGACGGGTTCCTGCAAGGAGAGAGGAGGACGAGGAAGCGGAGGAGGGGGAGGGTGAGGAGGATGGGGAGGGAGGTGATACGGAAGACGAGGAGTGGGACGGGGGAGGCTATGCGGCGGCAGAGAGGGAAATGGCGGGCTGGGGTTGGGAGGCGATGGCGGACGAGGAGAGCGGTGGTGATGATGGGGACGTTGAGCATGAGTATGAGTTTGACAGTGATTGCGACAGGGATGATGATGATGATGGAGGCTGGTCGGGGGAGCGTGATGATGACTAGGAGTCTAGGACGATGGCGAAATTGGTGCAGCTTGTAGGGAGTTGAGGATCGGGAAATATTGTGACAGTGTTGGTATAGCAAAATGGGGTCGTTTCCTCAGGGGTCCGCGGTGACGGTGTTGCCGATAGTGCTGATGATGGTGGTGATGTTGGTGATAATGGTGATGAGGAATATGAGCTGGCTGTAATGAACACCAGTCGGTGCATTGCGGAGCACATCACCGCACGAGTAATGAACACGTGGACCTCCCTAGACGTCCTCATGGTACCCTCGCCTTGCATCTCTTTGCTCGCCTTACCAGTCTTTGCTCGCCCCCCGTTTTCCTCCTTTGTCTCCATTCAACCCAGCATTCACTTGAACTGTGTCGACTTGTGTTGATGCCAGGCTCTGTGAGTTGGTTTGTGGGCACATCATTGACTCTCCTGATATGAGATCATGCCCCCACCCTGCACCATTCTGACTCTCTGCGCTCCTTGCTTCATTGCCTGCCTTCTTCTTGATTGCCCTCATTCATTGCTTTCTTTGCTTTCTCTCGTGTGTGCTTGCTTGCATGTCTTTTTCTCGTTCAGATGCCGGAAGTCGATCGGGTGGTGAAGACAGTCAGAGCATGGAGCAGAGACAAGGTGATTGTAGTTCTGCCTTGCTTTTGCAATATGTGCGGCATCTCACAACTTTCGTCCAATCGGCACCCACCTTGCATCACCGTTCTCCACCACCCACCCACTCCTTTCGCCACCCTCCTCTCACCTCCATCACCCCCTCCCCTCTCCCTCCTCCATCCTCCCCCCTCCCTCCTCTATCCTCCCCTCTCCACCCTCCCCCCATCCCCCTCCCCCCTCCCCTCTTCCCCCTTCCCTCTGCACCTTCCCCTGTTCCCCCTCCCCGCTTCCTTCTCCCTGCTCTGGCCCAGGTTGCTCTACCGGTGTGTCAGCTGGTGGTCTCCGTCCCGACCCACGAGCTGAGGCAACTGCCTACCGCACCACCTTCACTCCTCTCTCTCCGAGTTCTACCCTCTCTCTCCTCACGTCACTCCTGATGACCCTTTGAACCGTTATACCCGTGCCTTCTCCCCGCTGCTCTCGGACCTCCTGCGGCTTGGGTGAGTGTGTGCTTGAGTGGATTGAGTGAGTGATTGAGTGAGTGAGTGAGTGGAGTGAGTGAGTGAGTGGAGTCAGTGAGCGAGTGAGTGGACTGAGTGAGTGAGTGAGTGAGTGAGTGACATATTGGTAGTTCTGACCCGGGGTGCTGGAATTCCTCCGCCTCTGCGCTGCTAGCCCTGCGGCAAAGCGGCTACACAACGTGGAGCCCCCTTCATGGGAAGCTGCGAAACCATACCATTCCTACCGCCAGCGCTGGTCCATTACTCTGCAACGCGCACAAGCTGGGACACCGGCTTTGCCTTCCAGGGGGAGCCACTGGGCACTGGGCACCTCTTGCCCGTGCTCGTGCCAATGCTCGAGCCACAGTAGACAGTCCTGCTTTGCTTGTATGCCTCTTTTCTAATGTGCTGTACCAATCACGAATTTCGATGAAGGACCATTCGAGTGAATGGGTGAGAGTGAATGAGCGGGCGAGTTCGTGGCAAGAGTTGGTGGTAAAGAAGTGAGTGCACCGCTATCTTCTTTACCACCATCTCTTGCAATATCACATTCTCTCATGCCCATGTCTTGCACATCTTCCATGCTATGCACTCCAGCCCTCACCTCCTCCCTCACTATGCCCAACCGCACTACTCGTATGAAACCATGTGACTCCATAATTCACTACCCCGTATTGATTCCGTACTGCTCTTGTCCCATCTGCGACCTAAATACGTCTCGAATCTGTTGCTCTCTTCTTTTTTTTACCCCCGTCCTTGTCCCTCCATTCCACCCTTTCCCCACCGCCGTGCACCCGGCAGCTTTCATCAGGCAGGATGTGAGGCGGATGTGGCCTACAGCACACACGCGTGCCTCTTCTTCAGTGTGCACCACTGCCTGCAGCAATCAGCAACCAGCAAGCAGCAACCAGCCAGCAGCAAGCAGCAAGCAACGACCAGATGATTCTTGACTCTTGACTCGACTCTGCAGGGAGGCAGGTACACCGCACAGCTATCGTTCAGCGTACCCCACTGCGTTGCGTACATCAACCAGAATCCAGTCGGCATCCAGCTGCGTTGCGTGTATTGTTCCGACCACGCTGCCATTCCCCCGTCGATCGACCGACTCACACGGCTCAGAAACTTAACCCTCAGGGCTCGCGTTACGCGTCTTCCCGACACACTCACCTCGCTACAATCTCTCAGAAGCCTCGTGCTGAACGCTTCCAGGATCGAAGCGTTGCCTCAAGATTTCGGCAATCTTCTTTCCTTAACGTCTCTGGAGCTGAACCATTGCCGATTGGCGTCAATTCCGGAATCTTTCGGCGAGCTTGCCGCTATGAGCCGTCTTTTATTGAGTCACTGCGGAACGTTGCAGTTGCCGGCCTCATTCACCAAGCTCTCTTCTCTCGCCATCCTGGATGTTCGGCGATGCAGGATGGTTCCTCCATCGCCGGTCAACTTCGGTCGACTGCGTTCGCTTGAAACCCTCTCTCTGGTCGAAGTGACGGGAATGCGCGGCTTGATTGCGGCTCTCGAGCATTTGCAGCGGCTGAAGACTCTAATTATCAAGCACTGCCGTGATATCACGTCTCTGCCCGCGTCTCTTCCCCGACTGCCTGCACTCACCGATCTCACTCTAGACATGGCACAGCTCTCAGCGCTGCCCGAAGATTTCGGGCAGTTGTCACAGCTTCGGACACTCGTGCTGAAACTCAGGCATCTCACAGCCTTACCTGATTCCATCGCCCTGGTTACTACGCTTCAAAAGCTATCCCTCAACCATCATCGAAGTCTGCCACATCTGCCCCAGGAGTTAGGCCAGCTGGTCTCTTTGAAGAAGCTGTGCTTAAAATACCTTCATCAGCTCAAAAACCTGCCTGAAACCTTCGGGCAGTTGACAGCCCTCCAGGAGCTGAAATTGCTCGAGTGTAAGAAGCTGCAGCAGCTCCCGGACTCCCTGTCGCAGCTGTCATCTCTCGAGCACCTGGAGATTAACATATGTCCGGACCTCACGGCACTGCCAGATGACATGGGCAAGGGTCTGCACTTGTTGCGCCATCTGCTTCTACTGGACTGCACAGCCCTCACCCACCTCCCTCCGTCCTTCTCCGGCCTCATTTCTCTCGAAACTTTTAAGATCTTAGAATCGAAGCGCTTCAAGGGCGCTCTGATGGACGGCTTTGGCTGCTTGAAAAGCCTTAAGGAGTTGTCGCTCCGTAGTATGCCTCTCCTGTCCGCCCTTCCTGCTTCCTTCTCAGGCGTTTTCTCCCTCACCAGCCTGGAAGTGGGAAATTGCCCTTAAGTTACTATCTTGCCAGAGGGAATCGGACGACTGGAGGCGCTTGAGGAGTTCAGGATCTTTGGGATGAACGACCTGGAATGTCTCTCTCCGTCGCTGCTTGAGCTGCCCTGTCTGCGGTCATTGGAGGTGCGGGCATGTGGCGGGTTAAGTGCGGCGCTGGGAGATGAGAAGATCCTTAAACAAACTGACATTGGCTTTTTGGCCAGCAACAGCAGCAGCAGCAGCAGCAGCAGCAGCAGCAGCAGCAGCACCACCACCACCACCACCACCACCACCACCACCACCACCACCACCACCACCACCACCACCACCACCACCGGCACGTTGCTTCCTTCTATACAGAGCCTCAAGATAAAAGAGCTCAATGTCGCGTCCTTTGGTCCGTCCCTTGGTCGATTGTCCTCTCTGACGCAGCTGAAACTCCTGGAAATGTCCACTCTGCATTCCATCCCTGACTCTATCTCTCTCCTCTCCCAGCTACAACACCTCCGGGTTGATCGGGCCATGTATATGAAAGCACTGCCCGAGACCCTCGGAGGGCTCTCAGCGCTGCGTGTCCTGCAGCTGGTTCGTCTCGCCACAATGCGGCAGCTGCCCGAGTCTCTCGGGCAGCTGAAAATGCTCGAGACGCTGGATATTATCGATTGCTTCAAGCTGATGCAGCTTCCAGTATCGTTTGTGGATCTGTCAAGGCTACAATCCTGCAAGCTTGTAATGCTCGGGATCTCAGCCATTCCAGATGATATCTGGAAATTGTCTTCCCTCCAGAAGCTGCTGATCCTGGGACTGAAGCAGTTGAGAAGCTTGCTGGATTCGTTCACTCAGCTGCCTAAGCTTGAGGATTTGCGGGTTTGTGCGTGCAAGAAGCTGGCTCGAGTGCCATCCTCCCTCCGAAGAATGCCAACGTTGCGTGAATTCGATATCAGTGAGTGCCCGTTGCTCTCACGGCGAGACACGCGAGGGATTCCTGCAAGGGGAGAGGAGGAGGAGGAAGTGGAGAGGGAGCTGGAGGAGGCAGAGGAGGAGGGGGGGGGAGGGGATGCGGAAGTGGAAGAGGGGGAGGAGGGAATCTATGCAGCGCTGGAAAGGGAAGAGGAGGGTGGGGAGGAATTGGAGGAAGAGCAGAGTGGTGGTGAGGATGATGACTTGGAGCATGAGTATGCCTTTGACAGTGACTATTACAGGGATGAGGACGATGGAGGCTGGTGGGGGCGATTGCAGCGTGATGATGATGATGACTAGACCAATGGCGAATTGGTTTTCAAGTCGACTAAAAAAGAGAGGAGAGTGGTGGTGAGGATGAGGACATGGAGCATGAGTGACTTTGGCAGGGAGGCAGGGATGGTGTTGATGCAGGCTGGTGTGGGGGGGGTTGTGATGACAAGTCGGACGATGGTGAAATTGGTGCGGCGTGCTGCAAGTGGGGAATTATGTGACTAGGAAATAGGCTGATTTGATAGTGCTTCTCACTGGTTGTGGTGGGCATTACTCTGCACTGCAATTTGTCAATGTAACTCAGCTACCCGTACCGTATGTGCAAGATTTTCTATTTATTTAATTATTCTGGTGGAGGGCAGAGGATATTATCATTTTCTGATGTAGCACAGTATTGTATGT